GTGTGTGTCTGCGCAGAGTAACTGATCAGTATCCAATGCCCTAACCAGGGACAAGAATTTGGGTCACCAACTGTTGGAACTCTGTTTTCCTGCTTTACTTTCATCCCCAGTTCCAGAAATTATTTACAGTTGGGGCTGAAGCAAAAGATCCCTTTCAGTTTCTTCTAAAACAGGTATGTGTCGTGGAGCAAGGCTTTTAACAGGAAGATAAGGCAGTTGCTTAAGTTCTTTAGGAGCAAGAAGAGCACCAGGTTAGACTTGGCTTTTGGGTCGCTCTTCATTGCCCACTGAGTCAAACGTTTTCCAGCAAAATCCTGCAGCAGTTTATCTTCAAGTTTGAAGCAACTGCACGTTTGATGGATTTGCTTGCTTTAAAAGATTTCTATACTGCCCTTCATCCAGGCCAGTTTTACAGCAGCACATAAAATGCTAATCAGTGAAGCAGCAGCAAAAGGCAATGCTAAAAATAAGGGATGGATGGATGGATGGACAGACAGACAGACAGATAGATAGATAGATAGATAGATAGACAGACAGACAGACAGATAGATAGATAGATAAGGTATCTGACATCTTAAAAAAGCATATTAATGTAGGCAAGTGAGCCTCACTGGAGAGCGTCTTCCATCACTTTTATGCACCAGGAAAAAATGTTTTTCAGTCATGCTTTTGGCTTTAATTTGGAGAGTTTCAGATAAATGTGGTCTCCTTTAGTGGGTGGGATGGAGGAGACTACTTTTTACGTATAGGAATATTTTTAGCTTTTATATTGCTTTAGTTTTGTATTGGTTGAACATTTGTATTGTGAGTCACTTGTGAGCTCACTTGTTGTAAAGAGAAGTGGCTAATAAACGAAAAGGTCCTTTATCCCAGTGCACCCTACCTCTGTTCAAATGGCTGGGGCACCATTGGGAAGGGATTCTCAGGACAAGGGTAGTAGCAGCAGCAAGAAAAGTAGAGGAGCAGCTCTTAGGTGTGCATCTGAGTGAGTGGCTTTTAATTAGTGTACCCAAATGAGATAGAGGAACACCCTTTGCTCCCCGAGGAAGACCTTTGATCGAAATATGTTGGGAAGTCTTTGCAGAAAAGCCTTGAGGTCTACTTCTTCCATTAAATTATATCACAGGAGAGCAGGATATCAAGTACACTCTCTCTTAATTCAGCTCCTGAATACATACGCATGTACTGGGAAGACAAAGGATTTGTTTCTCAGCAGTGTGAAACGGGCAAAAACTGATCTATCGCACGTATTATGTAAAAGCCCCTTTAAATCCAGACTTGCTTCCCAGTGAAATGTGGGTAGAATAATACTGCAGGAATTTAGGTGGTGCTAAAGTGGAACTGTGGAATGCGGGTGGCGCTGTGGGTTAAACCACAGAGCCTAGGACTTGCCGATCAGAAGGTCAGCAGTTCGAATCCCCACGACGGGGTGCGCTCCCGTTGCTCAGTCCCTGCTCCTGCCAACCTAGCAGTTCGAAAGGAAACAGTGCAAGCAGATAAATAGGTACCATTTCGGCGGGAAGGTAAACGGCATTTCCGTGCGCTGCTCTGGTTCGCCAGAAGTGGCTTAGTCATGCTGGCCATATGACCCGGAAGCTGTACGCCGGCTCCCTCGGCCAATAAAGCGAGATGAGCACCGCAACCCGAGTCGGCTGCGACTGGACCTAATGGTCAGGGGTCCCTTTACCTTTAAAGTGGAACTATAAATCATTCAGCTGACATTTTGGTCCACAGGCGCTTCTTTCTTTCTGACTTCAGCCAATTTGGTTAAAAATCATGTTGTTGTCATTTTTGCTCATTCCCGCCACAATTGTATCTCTTCTCCCTTTTATTCTTGTAGAGAAACCCTGATTTCCAACCTAATAACGAACTCCAAGAAAACATACGGCTCCTTCCAAGATGAATTGGAAGATTATATTAAAGTACAAAAAGCAAGGGGGCTGGAACCAAAGACCCACTTCAGAAAGCCAGAAGAAGAGTTTCAAATGGAAGAGTATGGTGCCATGAATGGCCACGAACGGGGCTTTGGATTTGATCGGGATCAGTTTTCCGACGACGCTAACACACCAGAGCAGTATTCTGGCATTTTCTCAGAAACATGTCCACCTTTGTATTCTGCTAGCAGCAGATTGTCCCATTGGCCGCCAGGGTACAGAGACCTGCCGAAACTAGAAAATGCACCCGTTTCTCAGCACAGCACAGGTGGTTCCCTAGAAAAGCAGGCATCTCCATTGGCCACCTACAAAAGTGACAATTGCAACCCATCATCCGAATCCGTTGATGGCTACAAACATCTACCTTCCGACAGTAGCTCTGCCTTTCATAGGAGGAGCCAGAAGTCGCCAAAGACATTCAGAAAGGAGGAAGAATGTTCAGGAGAGGAAGACGGCGACCCTCGCCCACCCCTTGCTAAGTTCAGGAGAAAACAGCGCTGCGAAGGAGACGCAAACTTTGGAAAGGGCGGAGAGAAGAGGAAGAGAAAGAAAGAGGACGGCGACTCAAGTGCCGAGTCGAAATCGAAGCACGGTAAGGACAGAGGAAATACAGAGGGATCTTCTGAGAAGGAGAGCAGGAAGCACAAGAAGGAGAAAAAGAAGTCCGAAGCCAGTGGACCAACAGAGGAGGAGATGCTCTGGGATGAATCCATCCTGGGATTCTGAGCTTCTCCTAATGAATGAATTTTTGCGTTCATTTGAACCGTTGTGCACTTTTATGTTTCCATTACTGGTTACTTTCCCTGCCCCCCCCTTTTAATTGCTTGTTCAGGAATAATGAATGATGGGCACAAGATCTCTTAGCAAAGCACTAGGGAAGAAGTGGGACTGAAATTTTGTTGTACTGTACGAAACAGAATTAGCAATTTTCAGTACTTATCCTGAAGCGGCATTTAATGCGTTATGAATTTAGTGTGTAATATTCTTTCCGGTAGCATTTAAATGCAGGTTTAAAAAAACCCAAAAAGCTATGCATTGTCTATGGTTGCAGCGATATCTGTGTTGTTGAAAGCTTTAATATGAAAGTATGGGGGCAGGGAGAGGGTATATTCCATTTCTTCTTTATAATTGTTTTCCCCTTCCAGTTCTGAAAGTATAAAATAACACATTAAACCAAGAAGAGGAAACTAGTTGAATGTATATATATATATATATATACACACACACACACCCTTTACATCTCAGGTTCATTTTATTTAGGTATAGTTCTTAATCCTAAACCCCAACACCACCTCATCAAAATCTCTCATAAAGGTTTATTTGACTACAACAGGTTTCACTGTTGAAACTGGGGTGAGGACCTTGCTTTCTGCAGTGCCTCACTGCCCACTGGTGCTTTGAAGCCCCAATTTGAGGACTTCAAAGCACCACATCCCCTGACGCCATTTGTAAACTCAAGTGATTGCCCACCTTTTAAATTTGGCCCACGAGCCAGATCCTGATAGGGATCTGGACCATGGACCCAAAAAATTTCCCCATCTCTGGCTTCAAATGGTGATTGTCGCCATCTCCAACAGGTAAGAGGTGCTTGTAAAGTTCAAGGATGGTTTTTCTGAAAACGAAACACTATTTAAGAGTGTTCAAGGATCGGGGATTAAGGCAGTTAGTTTAAAATGAGAATTAAGATGCCCAGAAATTCATGCCTGCTTTTAAAGGCATGGAAATGGTTGAAGCAATGTTTGCCTTTACTTTTATGTAGACAGTAAAGATGATTTCTGAAAAGCGCTCTCCTGTTTTGCTCCCATGAATGTTAGGTCCCTGTTCCCACAATTCCACCTGATGTTTCACCTGCTCTGCAGGTCAGGCCGAGCACTGACCCTGGGGTCACTGCAATAGAAATGTTTAATATTCAGCTACGAGTTGAAATTAATGGCATTGGATTTCTGCTGAATGGAGAAAGGAAACTTCCAAACTGCACATCTCTAGCATTCTCCAAAGCAACATGGATGGATATTTTCGTTCCATCTTTTAAAATCCCGTCATCTTAGAGGAGACCTATTCCTCATTAATTAGTCCTGTGTCAAATCAAGAGGGCAGAAGCAGTGGCTGCAACTCTTATGAACGCTCAACCTTCGTTTGTGCAGATATGTCCCAGCCACATAATGTATATGCACAGCCCCTTTCTCCTCATCGTCCAAGCAGGCACCGTTTTAACATTTCATGGGCACATTCCAACCAGATAAGCATTTGAAAAGTTGGAGCAGGGGAAGAGGAGGGGTGACCCCCCCCCAGACACCCTTTCCCGAAATGAGGTTATTCAGCTATATATGCTAAGGTATCAACAAAGCCTATGCGCAATAACATCCTTGCTTGGAAGCAAAAAGGTATTTTGGAGTAAAGCATGTGTGACAAATGTGGGACGCGGGTGGCACTGTGGGTTAAACCACAGAGCCTAGGGCTTGCCGATCAGAAGGTCGGCGGTTCGAAGTAGATAAATAGGTACCACTCTGGCGGGAAGGTAAACGTGTTTCCGTGCGCTGCTCTGGTTCGCCAGAAGCAGCTTAGTCATGCTGGCCACATGACCCGGAAGCTGTACGCCAGCTCCCTCGGCCAATAAAGCGAGATGAGCGCCGCAACCCCAGAGTCGGCCACAACTGGACCTAATGGTCAGGGGTCCCTTTACCTTTTTATGTGTGACAAAAGGGGTTGTGCAAGTCAGCCATTTTAAACTCCAAAGCTTACAACATTTTTCTTCAAAAATGCCAGGAATGGACAAATTAATACAAACTCTCTCCAGTGCTATTTTTCTTAGGGGGAAAGGGTGTCTGAACTGAACATGAACTCTTCCCCTTGTTCTCTTAGAATGGCAATGGCACCCACCTGAGAGGTGTCAGAACTGAGTTCTGGCTGGGAGAAAACCACTATCGGCAAACATACAGCATTTGCTGGGAAAATGAGACTTTTGTCATGAGTGCTTGTTGTGAACAAAGAACAGCCCTCATTCAGTTGCTAGTAACTTTTTTATTATATATGTACACACACCCCTTTATACACAATAACAATTATATAAAAAAAAGGACCAAAACAGGTGTCTCCAGTTTAGCAGGAGACACATCTGGATGCAAACAAAAAAATCTTTACATTTGAGTCCGGGGTGCAAATTTATCAATCCCCCAGGAAAGGGGCTCATTCATCTGAATCCAGGTCACTGTCTCCTGCGATGGAATGGAAGTCTTCACTATCTTCCTCATCCTCCGACAGATGAACCTGACTTAACACACTAGGGCCACGCCTCTGGTCCTCCTCTTCTTCCTCTTCCTCTTCCGAGACCTCATAACCCCCAATGCTGCTGAAGCTAGTATCTCGGGTGTTGGATTTGGGGTCTGGTTCCTCGTAGCTACCGTAACTGGAGAAAGATAGAAATTTGATGGTGATGCTTTTGTTATTGATTGTGCATGCTGAGCGCTTTACAAAAGAGAAACCGTGCGGTGAAGGGAAACACGAAAGTGTGGCAGATTAGCGTTTACTTGGTGCTTTTCTGCAGGTTTTTAGCGTCAGGAGTGCCAGAGGATCAGGCACACGTCTAGTGCAGAATCCCGTTTTCAGTGGCCTCTCAGATGCCCATGAGAAGCCCGCAAGTGGGGCTTGAGGACAATAGCATCCTCCCCACCTGTAATTCTGAACAGGTATTCAGAAACAGACTGCCTCTGGCAGGAGAACATAGACTTTTCCTGTTTTTTTTGTAAAGAATCTAAGCTGGTGGCCATCTCCTCTGGTGCGGGGCTTTCCCAAACTTTGGTCTCCAGCTGCTGTTGGACTACAACTCCATCGTCCCTAGCTAGCAGGGATGATGGGAACTGTAGTCCAAAAACAGCTGGAGACCTGAGTTTGGGAAACACTGCTCTGGTGCAAGCAATACCGCCATAACTCTAGCACTCGAGACAGCAACATTTGGGTTGCTGTGCTAGATGTGGTTATGTATGTGTTCCAGGCAGAAGCCCAGAGACTCTGCTCAGCTTTTTAAAAAGCCTTTTAGAGACAGAACAAACTTTTCAAAGGCAGCTGAAACAGCAATGCATAGGTTTAATGCTCCACGCTTCGTAATTTTTTGTACATTTAATAACTATTCCAAATACACTTTAAAAGGAAAGGCAAGGCTGCGATCCTGCCCATAACTACGCCTATGAATCACATCTACAAAAGAAGCCATGGAATGGCACCCCAGAGTTACTACTAAAGGATTGTTCCGATAGCATTTGGTGATGTTACTTATCTGCTTCCGGCATCACAGCAATTGAAAAAAAGGAATTGTTCTCATTGCTTTAGCTGCTGTGCTTTCTGATGGTTTTGGTTGGGGGTTTTGCTGGGCTTTCTCCCACTATGTGATTTCCCTCCCCAACCCCTGCCTGGATTTTAGAGTTTTAATGCAGTCAGCATTTTCTTGTTTGAGCAGCCGGCCAGAGAACTTGGTTGGATGGAGGGCACGGAAGTGCAATGAGTTAGTCAACAGAGGAGCAGTAAAGAGCAGAGAGACCCAGGCTTCGTAAGCATTTGCACGAGAATTGTTTGAACCGGGCACTGCCACCCTGCATCCGTGAGAGCCAAGCACTTGCTCACTGCTTCCAACAGCACGCTTGTCTATGATTACCTGGCATTGCTGTCTTCCAGGGCATGCGATGTCTCTCCTCCAGTTCCCTCGTAGGACATCATGCTCTCTTCGTTATCCATGCCCATTCGCGTGTTCTCCTGAAGAACGTGAGGCTGCTTGGGTCTCACGGCACTGGACTCCACGTCGGAATCGCTCCCGCTTTCACTGAGCTGAATAGCTGGGCAGAGAAAGGGTAGCCACATTGCAGTTAACCGAGCCTGATTTCCTGGTTTTCTCAGTAGTTTAGCATTCTGGCTAAGCTGCAGTTCCAAAACACTCTGCAGCTCAACAAGTCAACTAGGGCTGGGCGATGAGGCATCAATTTATCACCCACAAACTGGGTTCAAAGTCCACATCATGGTACTGGTTTCCTAAGATTTGACATGGCAACGTATCGCAAATCTCAATGTGTGTTCGCGCTATGTAAAAGAATGACATGGGCGGGGAGCGTGAAGCTTCCTTCTCCGTCTCCCCTTCTGTGTATGTGCCATGCGAGTGCTGTGTCTCATCTTCCTTTTTCTTCCCTGCCACCCAACTCACTGGCAGAAGAAAATACAGTGGTACCTTGGTTTAAGGACAGTTTAGTGTATGAACAACTTGGATTAAGAATGCTAAAAGTAGGTGTTTTGGTTTGTGAACTTTGCCTTGGAAGCAAAACGTGTTCCGCTTCCTGTTGAGTGTGTTCCATTTGTAAACTGAGTCCCTCGCTGCTATGGGAAAGCACACCTTGGTTTAAGAACGCTTTGGTTTAAGAACAGACTCCCGGAACGGATTACGCTTGTAAACCAAGGTACCACTGTCAGTGTTTCCATTTTTACTTTCCGGTGTTTACATTGTTGTCTTCCCCAAAACAGCTTCCCTCCATATTTTAGGGGAAACGTGCAAATTAAAAAAATATCTGTACTATAAAGTAACAGTTGTAACAATACATTAAGTAGAAGCAATAGCAGGGACAGGACCTCATCCGCCTCTACATAGTTCCATCCTTATTTCAGATATCATGATATATTGCAATGTTTAGCTGGTGATATATCCCAAGGCTTTCCCAAAATTCAGGCTCCTCGGCAGGGGAAGGAAACGGCTTTATTATACACCTTTAGCTGCCTGGCAAAAACGTTCCTCTTTAGCCAGGCCTTTGGCAGATTGAAATCCAACCCAAAATGTGTCAGGGAGAGGAGGGTTATTGGGGTGGGTTTTGTTTTTATTGTGTAAGACATGTGGGTATAGGGTGGTATACAAATTTAATAAGAAGAAGACGACAAAGGCTATATTCCCATGAACGAAAGTGGTGGGGAAGCAGATACAGTGGTACCTCGGTTTAAGAACAGCCCTGTTTGCGAACTATTCGGTTTACAAACTCCGCAAAACCGGAAGCAGTGTCCGGGTTTGCAAACTTTACCTCGGTTT